TACTGTTCGTTATAAACATGCTATTTGTAGGTTATATTCGAGTCGACTAGGATTTGAGTAGGCTTCATCGCGTTCTTGCATGTTGCTGTATTCAATACATTTGCCAGTCGAATTTTGAAATTATTATGAACCGTAAATACTCTGGGTATATATAATCTGATAATTAGTAATGTCCCAAAAACATGTATACACAGCAACAACGTTGGTGACCGTCTGTTAATCACTTGCTCACGGCTGTCATCTGGGCCACGAAGTTAACGGTGGTCATTGTTAACGCCTGCACTAGATTAGCTAATTCACTGTGCGTCAGATCTTGCGTTTTAAACGTTCGGTTTATTAAAATATCTTGATTTTATTCATTGAATGTGTATATATATATTTTAGGGACACACTGTAGATGCGTTAGATTTTTTGCATTTACTAGCTTTCATCCGTTGTAGGGGTCCGCAGTGGCCGCTTGGTCGCTGGGACCGTGAGTTCGAATCCCACTCAAGCCATGGATGTTTATCCGCGTTTTTCTGTGTTGTGCTGTCCTGTGTACGGGTAGAGCCTTTGCGATGGGCCGATCCCTCGTCCAAGGAGTCCTACCGAATGTCTATAGATCAAGCCAACGAAAAGTTGGGACCCGCAGTGCTCAGGCACTTGAAGAACGGGTCGTTCCCAGGATCCCAGTATCACCCATTGTAGACAATTTTATTGATCGGCACACGGAACAGATGTGTTGATTTTGACGGATTTGTGTACTGTGATACAAACGAGAACACTTCCCAATCTTTGTTTTCATTGTGCTTTCTCTTCACATTTAGTACCTACTACGCTTGATTGTAAAGACAAGAATGTAATTCTTAAAAGTTTAAGGCAAACGTTTCGGGCTAGTCTGTCTATAAAACCGGTGTTGCTGTAAGTGATTGAGTTTGCTGCTGGGTGATGAAAAGGGAGTTCTTTACGCAGAAGACCTTGTTTTTTAACAACGGAATTCTGCGGACCAGGTCTAATATAAGTACATATCTCCAAAGGCACCATTCTCTTCGTACACAGACTATTCTTAAAACTATAAATCTATTCTCCCTTCCCTATTCTCACTTGTATCTGACTGGTTTTGATGTGTATTAAAATGTAGATTTGTACAAATATTCTTCTATATTCCTTAATTCAAAAACGTTAATATAGTTTATCATTCTCTCACGAGCTTTATGAGCTACTTCATTATTAATAAGCAGTCTCACACTAAAAGAAATCATTCTACTTCCTCGTCACGAAACGTAATAATACAATCTGTAAAAACATCCTCTTCCCCTCCGTATAGAGTCATAGAATCGTCCCCCATTTTTCAAATCCTTTCCTTTTCCCAATCAACATCTTAAGTGCCATTCTTAAACCATTTAACCCGCTTCTCCAATTTCTTGTGCAGGAAACGTGTCAACTTCCCTAACTCGCACAAATTTCGAATCGTTGATAACCACCTATAAGCTGCATGACATCACAGCCAGGATTACCACAATATTTTTTAGTCTGTGTCTCAGATTCATATGACTTTTAGGTAGCCCTTTAATGTGCAGATCCCACATTTTTAACACTGGCCTTGAATTAATTCTTTGCCGTAAAATCGCTCTACATAAAATGTATGCACCCTAATCGTTTATGGCCTGGGAATATTACGTATACTCTGAATCTGTTAATAAGCCAGTCGATCGCAGTCGCCTCCACATGTGTGAAGTGCTTGACCGAGTAATTGTGACGTGGGAAATCGATACAGCGATTATTCATCGTTTGATTCCTCGCAGTGATTTATTGCCAGTTGCGTGATACTAGTTAGTTTCTTCCCATTTATACGGTTTGGTGGTCACTGTGATAACCATTTGGAAAGTGCTATGATACCTAAAGTTACAAAACACCTGTCAGCTTTGCCTTGTTTGTCTGTCAGCATGTAATCAAGAAAAGTTGAACGGATTTTCACAATGAGATTGTAATGGTGACGAGTATGAAGATGGCTGTCATCTGTGATGTTACGCCATGTAAGATGTATACGTTTACCGATGTTTTAGAGATGCTTACTGCCTCCATCATCAAGGCGGATTTTTATTAATTTTGGTTTCGGAGAGTTTTGCTAAAACGTGTCTAAACTTCAATTTGGGTCAAAACTGGATGAGAATAACGGGCGCTATGAATATCTAAATGAATTACTGGCTACATCTCGAGTGTAACTCGCTAAATTTTTTTCGGAGCAGAAATTTATGAGCGAAAGTTGCAAAGAAAAATTACAAGCATATTTTATGCCCAAAAGGGGTACTGTAATATTTAAAGTAAAATCATAAGTTGTAAACTGTTACATTTTTTTTTACCTCCCACATAAGAGTTTTGTTCTTATAATTACGTAGTGGTCTTCACTACTTTGCCGTCTCTCAAAAGTTACAATAATAAGATTCGACATTTAAACACAGTGTATCAGAATTATGAGTGTCCTGAGGCGATTCTATCCAGTACTTTTTACCAAAACCGACTTCTTTAATATACAAATGTCAGAACGCTGTTGGGATTTCTGACTGCAGTCGATTATGCATTTTCTCTGCGTAACAAACCTCGTGCAGTGGATGTTTCACTAAGACATGGCGCGCATATCAACTCAAAGAGGATTCTGAACTAATGTACTCAAGCAAGTTCGGCTGAGTAGTACAGTGTCTGAAATATATTTGAAGGTATCTGGTTCGAATCTCAGCCAAGATACTGAGTAACGTGAACATTTTTGTAGTTTCCTTCCTTATTAAATTTTTCACTCTATACAGCGTTTTTAAATTGTTTAAGAATCAGTCGTTATAGCACAGATAGCACACATATAAAGACGAATTAAGTGTGTTAAGAAAGTTAAGTAACATACGATTCTTCGTGCGATCCTGTCTCCCCTTTCAACGCGTGTGTGCAGGTATGATCCGCGTATGTATGAGATTGCATTCACTGCAAGAGACATCGAAGAGATACAGTGCGCCCGCATTCTTCCGTTTAGACTACCCGTGTGACACATGTGTTGGAGAAGATGCCGCGTGGGTGCGGCTAGATACTTTTGTAGATTGCGTTATCGATGGCGATTGGCAGGCCCTTGACGGTTATTCATGTGTTACATCGCATTTATGTTATACGTTACTATACGTTGTCTCATAAATGTACAGTTTTCAGTGTAACAGTGAAGTAAGAAATAAAATTGTTCCTTGAGCGCTGGAGATTACTCGTACGTTAATATTGTATGTTTAAATGATGAGCAAGTGACCGAAGCGGTTTGGAAGATTGGTATACAGATATGTTCTGCTTCGCCGGCACCGTGGAACCAACCTTCCTTGCACAGAAGGTCGGTCGGTGTTTTATTAACTTCTGTTAATCAGAAATTAATTTTTCATGCACTGCTGTCCCACTGTTTTGGAGCATAGCACATTTTGAGATGAATTCAATAAATTTTCTCCGTTTTATGGAACCGAACGGTTGAGTTCCATTTTCTTAGGAGTTCGCCATTGGTCCATGTTCTGACACAGATTAATCAAGTCTACGTCTTCGCATCCTGTTTCTGTAGTGTTTATTTTGTTATCCTCCCATCTACATCTAGGTCTTCCAAGTGGTATCTTTCTGTCAGGCTCATTATGGATACATTGTTTACAAATGTTGAGTAGTGTTGATTCATGATCATTGTTAAAAGATGTAGCTTGAGTTGATAGAATATGCCTGTATTGCTGATGTTAGGAGCTACGTTGAAGCAAACGAGTGAGGAGGATATGAATAACAAATTCGGTAAGGTTTTTGGGTTACAGATGAATCAGTATTCACAAGGTGAAGGTTAGCTGTAGTTGAGAATGTGTACCATCCCAAGTTATAGGGAGGGAAAGACGCCTTGGGAAAATCGATACATGCGCAGATTCGGCGGTGCTGGTGGCTGTAGGTTCCATCGGTCTTCTTCCTTGAAGACGGTATTTTGTCTTGTCTGATAATTTCTCATTCCCCGCATTCTGGTGGCAGCAGAGAGCTGTCATTGTCTTCCGAAGTGTTCTATGCCTTGTCGCAATGCATTGGTGTTTAACTGAATGCCATGGATCTATGAATGGGAGTGCATTTATCATGGGTAAAGCACTAACCGGCCATGGTGGCACGTAGGAAGTCTGTAGTGCTGGGCTGCTTTCTCTGTGAAGGTGACTGTCTTTAATCTATTTATGGTGTGTCTGATGAGGGAGTTGAACGGGTTTGTCATCCGGAATCAAACTAAGAAAGTCAGTAGTAAATTTTACATCATTTAATGCCTAAGATACAGAAAAATTGAGGTTAAGAGAAACTGTTTTGGGGTGCAATTTTATGTTTTCAGCTG